ACGCACTTAAAAACCCATTTTAAACTAAAAAACGGCCCGGAACGCATCAATAACGCGGCAAAAAACGCGGCATAACACACTGTACTGTGTGTGAAGAAAGTCATGCAGATCTGGTCTGCATTTGGTGTGAACAAGCCCTAAATTCTGTTACTCCTCATATCTGATTCTTTACCAGCAACCGTAAAAACGTGGTTTCTGCACATATCGTCATTGAAAAGGCCTCTTAGCATGTACAAAAGGAAATGGACTAAATATTCCTTTAGTCGTGCAATTTCCCTACAGATGTCAAGTCAGCTATTTCTGACCTAGCCTAGGGTATACATACATTACAGGGATGCAAGGATGCCTTTGTTTATTTAAAGCATATCTAAACCAAAAATGCAGTTAACCAATCCTTAAATGTGGTGGCTGAAAATAAAGGGAAAAAAGCCTAAAAAAAGAAATCTAATGTAATTACCTCATCTAAGGACTAGTAAGCTTCAATATATAACATTTTTGTTTTTGGATGTATATACACTTTAATTCTATATGCAGAAAAACCTTTGTCGGTTGGCGGTTACCGGGGGCCCCCTTCCTTCTGCCTGCCCCTCCTCCCCCCCCCCCCAAAAAAATGGGGCGGAATGCTAGGCCCCGGGAGCAGCTGCAACTGCTGTGACCCTGGTAGTTCCACCACTCTATAGATGACTACAAACCTAGCAATATATTATACAGCAATCCAGAATACCACTAGCTATAGAAGACTACAAATCTCAGAAATACATTATACAGCAGTATAATGTATTGTTGGGATTTGTAGTCCTCTATAGCTGATGGTATTCTACATTGCTGTATAATGTATTGCTGGGATTTGTAGTCCATTGTAGCTGGTGGTATTCTGTAGTGCAGTATAATGATTATACAGCAATGCAGAATACCACCAGCTATAGAGGACTACAAATCCCAGCAATACCTTATACAGCAATGCAGAATACCATCATCTACGGGCCCCCCTTGTAGCAGCCTTCACCCACCCAGGTCCCAGACACCAATTTCCCTTAGCCTCACCTGAATCCTGCAGCACCTTCTTGGCAGCCGGGTACCAAGAGGGAGCTCAGGAGCATGTCCTCATAAGCGCCTCCCACAGCAGGATGTGCTGCCTGGCAGTACCTGCAGAGGGGTCAAGCTTATGCTTCTCTAAGCAGTTCTCACAGGTGACAAGTGTCCTGTTATTTCTCTTGACCCGTCGAGAATTCTCACGGGTTGAGAGAAATAACAGAACATCGGCCTCATGAGGTTCTACAGCACACCTCTCCATCCGGGGCACAGCCGCACAGATGACAGCCTTCCTACTGCGTGTGGCAGAAGGAGGGAACGGTGCAGCGACTGAGGGAGGAAGCGGCAATATCTCTGGCAGTTCACCCCCCCCCCAATCGGATCCGCCACTAGTCTGCAGATGATTTTATCAGGACGTAGAACGAAATTTAAAGTAATAGGACCCTGCATGAAGGCAGCACAGCCACAAATGGAATGCAGGAGAGAATAGAAAATTCAGATTATATTTTCGAAACGGCTTCATTTGACTCGACACATTAAAGAAGCTTTGGCATTTTAAAAAAATGTATATTTTCCTAACAAAGATGCATTCTACACATTCCATTAAGTACTGACTTTTTAGAAATACATTTAATACACAACTTGGAAGCTATCATCTAACACATCTATTATACACAAGGCGAAAATATAAAATAGTGCCTTGGCAACCTCTGTGTTTCCCACTGTGTGCCAAGTGCTCATTTAACATGCATTGATACATAATGTCACACCATGCAAACCTATCCATTGTTACTATTACAGTCCTGTAGATGAAGAAGGTTAACATGCTAGCAGTTAACCATTGACACTGGAACAGAATAGTTCTAACAGTCATTAACAACTGGTATGCTTGACTAAGACAAAACATGGTAGGGTATCAACAGATTACATTTGAAATTCATTAACAAATGCACCCTTATGCTTAGAAAACTGGTAACCACCTATAAGCCACTAGAACTATACCAGAAAGGGTAGTGATAGAACTGTGGTCTATATTTCCAAAGGTCATTGCCTTCAGTTGTTCTTGAATTACGGGCCTGGCGAGGGTACTCACATTTCTCATTACCAGTAGGATAATACCACACTGACCATAAAACGAATAATGCTGAACTGAACACCTTGAAACGCCATACAGTGACATCATTTCAAAAAAGCAACTTGATACTAAAAGATCTTGCAGAGAACAGTTATAGACACTGCTGAAGATACCTAATTGTTGTAAGAATCCATCTGTTGAGAAGAAAATAAAGATTAAAATATCATTTATTTAGGAAAACGTCATTTAGGAAAAAATACCATAACAATGACTGTACAACAAATCTCTGGTGTCGTTATTTCTAAATGGAACATTGTGTTGATAATGAAGGGTCGACTGATTGACTTAACTATGTGCACTATGTTATGCTATATGCACTATGTTATAAGCAGGGTGGTGTAACATACAAAACTCATTGCCTGCAACAGGACTACGAGTCTCTGAATCTTACAAACGGTACATTTAAAAACGAAATCACACACAGGTAAATTACTATTTATACAAAATATTTAATAACTAGGATATTTTTTTAGCAACATGAGAGAAGTACTTCAAAAGCTACTTTGGCTAGGAAAGGGTGCTTCCTTAGGAAAAAAAAAAAAGAGGCAGATCCCTTTACAGTTCTAAAAGTCTGTAAAACCTTAAGGTGCCCATACACTTTACAACCCTCGTAAGACTTTTGCCTTGTGAGGGTTGTAAAGTAATTTAAAAACGTACACTCTGCCCATCTTGGACAGGCAGATCGTACCTGCGATCATCACAAGCCCGCCCCCCTGAGGAGCGGGCTTCCGATGACTGCAATGCTGAACGGGCAGTGTGCGCCCGTTCGGCAGTTGTCGAACAAGCAGGCCACTAACTGGCCGAGAATCGTACGATTCTTGGCGGGTTTTCCACCCTGCTTGTTTGACGTGACGCGACCGTACAGTAGAAACGGTTGCACGCCTTCCGTACACTTTGCGATTATCGTACGATCGCGGGATTTCGCGCGATTCTCGTACGATAATCGTACAGTGTATGGGCACCCGCGATCGTACGATAATCGCAAAGTGTATTGAAGGCAACTTTCTACTGTACGATCACACGTCTTCTGTCGAACAAGCAGACTGGAAAACCCACCGAGAATCGTACGATTCTCGGCCAGTTAGTGGCCTGCTGGACTGGGGGGGGAGGGGGGGGGGCGGGTATTGCAATGATCGCAAGTACGATCTGCCTGTCCAAGATGGGCAGATCGTACACTTTTTAAATTACTTTGCAACCCTCACAAGACAAAAGTCTTATGAGGGTTGTAAAGTGTATAGCCACCTTTAGGAAGGCCAGAGCACATAGTTCCGCAGAGAGACACTGTGTGGAGACAGCTTTGTAAGTAGTAGTACTAGTATTTTGTGGGTATGGCAGAAAGCTGGACTGCCTAGGATTCATTTTTTGTGTTATGTTTTATCACAATGGATAGGCTTATGTTTTTCTAAACCTGGAAAAACAATAAAGCTGGTTGCAGCTAGTATGACACTTAAAGTGACATTAAACCCTCAGATTTTTTAACATAAAACAATACTGTAATGTGTGCCTTACTGTAATCCATGGTTGTTTCCCTTCTCTTTGCTGCTCTTCCTTTTAAATCTGTATCTGTTCTCATGCTCTGCAGAACTTCTGTTTTGCAGCAGACTGCCTTGTCTCAGGAATGGATACATGGTGTCTGTGTGTAGGTTTGCAACCTGAGCCAGCACTACAGGAAGAGGCACTCAGCTGCAAAGGGAAGTTCTCCCGTGGAGAACTATGGGGAAAAACACTGACCCCATAGTTCTCCTTTAATGTCACTTTAACTGCTGTATCAAGGCTGCTGACAATACAAGCTGTGCTGCATTTATACTTACCAAACATTCAGGTACTAGTCTTTCTAAATGAGCATATTCATCTGGAGACATTGGTAATAGAGACTCAGCTGTTGCAAGTCTTGAAGGATGTCTAGAACAAAGAAAACAAAAACAGTTATATTTGTGCTGGAAACCCCCGTTAAGGAAGGATGTCTAAGACATAGACGGTCATTCACTAAGCTGCCGGAGGCAGCCGAGTGAATAACCGAGCCATAGTGAAGTGAGCCAAACAATGCTCGGCTATTGACTACGGCTCAGTACGGCGGATTTCAGCTGTACATTGGCTGAAATCAGTTGTACATTGGCTGCCTTCGGTCAGCCGAACATGCACAGCACGTTCGGCTGAGCTGAAGTGCAGAAGGACTTCGACTCAGCCGATCCAACATCTGGATCGGCTGAGCTGAAGCTCCGGCAGCTCACTCGCTGCAGTTCGCCCCTATTCATATAGGGGCCCAATGGCAGTGAGTGAATAGCCGAATGACGCCTAGCGGCATTTGGCTTGGCTATTCTGCTCGGTACCTCCGTGGTACCGAGCAGAATAGCAAATAGTGAAAAGAGTTGGGGAAAAAAATGTTTAAAAATTAAATAAATAATATTTTAAAAAAGAAAGATTTTTAGAAAAAGAAGAAAAATAAAAATTGGGCGGTGCTAGCAGTGACAGCTAGCTCTGCCCAACTGTTTCCTATTGACCGGCACCTGCTAGAGTCTGGTTAGCCCCACTTTGGCTGCCCGTTCGCCCTGCTTTGGCTGTCACTTCGGCTCAGTCGAGCCAAAGCATATGCTTGGCTGAGCCGCTCCGCCGCCTTCGGGAGCTGTATGGGCTATAGTGAATAGCCCGTACAGCAGCCCTTCGCAGATCACTAAACCGAAGTGCTCTCGCTACCGAAGCTAGCCGAATGATCAGCCAGAGCTACGGCTCATCCTTCAGCTAGCTTTGTGAATAGACCCCATAATAAAAAAAATATTAGCTTTATGCTGTAAATATATTTCTTTTTTAGTAGATACAATTCTCAGCACCACACTCACACTTCAGATACAGAGATTAATTCAGTTTTGATGTATCCTGTTGTTTTAGGTCCATCAAGATCCATTGGTTCAGGAGCTAGAATGTGAAAACAATTAAAACGATTTAGCTTTCCGAAGAGTTTCACAAAGAGACAAGTTCACAAACAATCTTTATCTTCTCTTTTCCTACTTGCCTGATTTCCATACTATGCGACGATTATACTATATTATTACCTGGGACAACTTTCTGCATGGAGGTCTTTATTGACCATAATGTCGCTCAAAGTGCATTGGCTAAGTCAACAGGGGCAACGCTAAACCTCAAAATGTACAGTTTGTGATCAGCTTGTTTTTATTTTGTCTCTCTTTTCTGGCCACATTTGTGTATTAATTCAGACAAAGACCAGCTGGGGATGAAGGTGCAGGGAATGTTGAGATTAGTCAGAAGACTCCCTAAGAAATATGAAACCATCTCAACTTTCCCTTCATTGTTGGTCTATGTGTTTATTTCCTATGTTATAGGAGATTTCTTTGGATCTCGTTTATTTTATACACTATATGTATTTATAGTTTATGGCTTATAATACTTTATACCACTTTATTTATTTAGCATTTTATGGATACATAGTATTTTATCAAACTAAGTGGCTGATAAATAAACCAAAATTTGCAGCACTGTATGACCACTAGATGAAGCCAAGGAGCATTGGAATTCCTCAGGTCTATGTAGTGACCATACAGTGCTGCAAATGTCATTCGCACAGCTCTTCGCTGTGCAAACGTGTTTTTTTTTAAATAAGTCATTAAGTTAGGGTTTAAATCTCTTGCAACCTGTTTCATACATGAGCTTCAGCTTGAAAAAGCAGTGTGTACGTCAAGCTTTTACAAGGTATTTGTACAATTCTAGCTAGCTTCAAGTAACTTCTATAAAGACGTCAAAGCATCAGTATGGGGATGTTAAACACAGTTCACAATGGGAGTGCTGATTGTAACTATAAACAAGCTAGTAACAGGCTTCAGCACTACTTCCTACTTGATGAAAGCCTGCTAAGCAGTTTGTTTATAGTGACAACCAGTCCGCCCATAATCATTTGTGTTTTCAACATCCCCAAACTGGAACTGAAGGGTGCTTAAAAAACTTCTGTAATCACTTTTTTGTTTGAGTTGCAGCAATTGGCTGCTAGACCCAAGCACTGTGACAGTGAAGGAAATCATATTCTCCCCCATAGTGCCAGGACAAAACCCAAAGTTAAAAGGCTAAAGTGTGACCCCCCCCTCCCCTTGAGCTGTGCACTTCAGCAGCATAGGTTGCAGGCTTGGCCCTTTTTGAGCCCCCAAGGCAGCTGCCTTTTCTGCCTGCCCCTCGGCCCGCCCTGCTCCAGCATACCCAGTAACGCCGTCAAGGTAAATATAAGTGGGTGGGGGACTTTTTGCATAATCTCTTTAATAAAAAAAAAAAAGTTATATAATTATATTTACCATCCGTAGGCCTGGAGTAGTATCTCCCAAATGCTGCATCTTTTGGCGTGTTTGGATATAAGAATTTCAGTGGATTTTCAGGAATATTTTCAGCTGCCATTACTTTATAGTTGCGGATAATGTCTGGAAAGGTCACAGCAGAAAGTTCCTTCTTTGTATAAGGTTCCACAGAATGAAATACTGGCTCTGAAATTAGATGAATGGATAAAAAGGTAATATAACAGTCTAATATCGCATATTAAATATGGCCATTGTTTAGATGGAGAACAAGACATATAAAACAAAATGACAACGCGTACCAGGCATTGTGATGACCACCTACAGTTGTCATATATTTACCAGCAAGTATATTATTTGTATTTAACCTTGCATATCTAAAAGTTCATTTAGTTTAGGGTTCTATAGATATATGTAATTCTGATCAGCTTAGTGTTAAAGTGTAAACTCAAATATATTTTTCGCATATTTGGCATCATGCCTTACTGTATACAGTTTGATTAAACTCATTATTTTGTGAATCTGGTGCTTCATGCCCACAGAGCCACTTACAATTGCAGCAGCGTTGTCAGTCTGCCGTGTAAGCCTTCTGTTGGCGGTTAGGCTGCCTATCTCATAGAGCTAAAAAGCAGTTCAATGGCTAACTGAAGAAGCACAAATTTGGGCAATTTAACCACTTGAAGACCAGGTGTTTAGACCCCGATCCTGGCCAGGCCATTTTTCAGTATTCAGCACTGCGTTACTTTGCCTGGCGTTTATTCCGTCATTCCACGCTGTAATTAAATGAATTTTATACCATTTTTTGGGGACACATAGAGCTTTCTTTTGGTGGTATTTAAACACCACTGCGGGTTGTTTTTTTTTACTATAATTAGGAAAAATTACTGAAAATTTTGGAAAAAAAAAAGTTTTTTTTTAACATTATGTTAGGAAACATTTATTGTTACCCAGTTTTTATGTAAAATATAAAAGACGGGGTCACGTCGGGTAAATAGACACCAAACATGTCAAGCTTTAAAATTGTGCGCACCCACGCAATCGCCAGCAGTAGATATAGGCAAAAAACGGAGGCTTTAGAACCCCTTTAAGCATTTTGACTTGTGAATTATCATCACCTCAGTTGGGCATTGGGTTATTTATGATCTAATTATTTTAACACATATCTTAAATAATACACATTTTTATATAGAAATTGTTACACATATTTATATATTTTGATTCACTTTTTTTATTGTGGATTTTATAGCTTGTTGCAGGTTTTACATAGTGATTATTTTTATCCCATGCATTTGTCTTACCATTTTGTGCCATCTCCACCCAGGTAAAGGTAATGGCTCCTTCTTTACTGCTTTCACTAAATCTCAATAAAAATGTACCCGGTTCTTTATCTTTTAGCAGCATACGCTCTCTTTCTTTGCTTATGAAACCCATAATGCACCTGTTAGTGCACAAGGAGAGAAATCATTATTGTTGTTTACTAACAAAACTATGATAATCACATTTTCACATAATCACACCCCATGGCAGGATACATATGGGAATTAGCTAGAGAGAAAAGGGTGAGATGTAAAAAGGTGATCATTCATTGCGAAACTGAGCAAAGATATGATTCGTCCAAAGCTGACCGAGGTAAGTGGTGCCAGGTTCACTTTGCAGTGTTATAAATGTATGCACTGATGGCTAGCAAGCAACCTTACACACCATATGTGCTGAGATACCTGAAAAGAATGACCAAGAAGATGACCTTAGCAGAGTGAGCAGTTACCTCCCTGGGGACATCTAGGTTGTTGTATCATTCTGAAAATGTTTAAAGTGGAAGTGTAGTCAGTAGAATAAAAAAGAATAACTGGGAAGTAGAGATTTCTGGCAGAAGGGAAATACAAAGGGGGAAGTTCATCAAAACTGGAGCAGAGAAAATCTGGAGCAGTTGCCCATGGCAACCAATTAGCTTCTCTTTTTCAGTTTCAAAACTTAATTGAACAAACTAAAGAGAGAAGCTGATTGGTTGCCATAAGAAAACTGTATGCTCCAGTTTTGATAAATTCTCCTTTGAGTCTCTTCTGCCCAAAAAAGTCTTCCTCTCTCCCTCAGCGATTGTTTTCGCATGTGCAATGTAGTGTGCACTCTCTTCTCATTCATGGCATCTCTAAGATGCTGTGAATGGGCTGGCTGCTACCCAATGGCTGAAGAGAACTTTCAGGAAGTGTTGTCGGTGGAGATGGTTAGCACTGGGGAGATAGAACTGAGGATGGAAGGTCGATCTGACTACGCTAGAGAAGGGCACACTTGTAAGATAAGTGTGCCATAATGGGAAAGTATGCTGAGCAAAAAACAAACATTTACACAGCGGTTTACTTACACTTTAAAGACATGGTCACACAGGTAAAGGATGGGAAAAAACATCTTCTGTATTAAAAGGAGAATTATGAGGCGAGTGATTTTCACTCAGCCTCATAATCTGAGCCGACCTGTAAGAATGAAACTGTCACACGTCGGCTCAATAGATCGGGAAGTAAGCGAACACATACCATCGCTTGCTTACTTCTCGATCTATCCCTGCAGAGAGCCGCGGGTGACAGTCTGCAGGGATTCCCCCCCCCTCCCCGCTCCTCCAGCGCTGACTGGCGGAAAGAACGTAGGAGGGCGCGGGCACAGCTGGCTCTGCCTCTGGATAGGCAGAGCCAGCTGTCACTCACGCAGCTGGGTGGATCCAGACAGAATTGTCGGGATCCGTTTCGGCTGCGGCGTCTCAGTATAAAGCGAGCTGTTGCTCGCGGTATACTGAGCTTTGCGTCACGGGAGAACGCTAGTTTGTGTTCTCCCGTGACCCTTAGGAGAACTATGGGGAAAAGCCCTGACCCTATAGTTCTCCTTTAAAAAGGAAGGTAGGGTCTATTGCTCATTGTAGCAGAAGTTGGATGGCGCCTTAGGAATAAAGTTACATTTAGCTTAGAGCAAAGGTAGTAATAATAATCCCTTCATTCATTGGCGTCAGTGTCAACAATAATAACCCCCTCCCCTTTATTGGTGCCAACAATAATAACCCCAACCTCATTGATGTTCAGTAGTTATTTAACTAAAACACAGATTTTCACCCGTCAGGCAGAGCCATGGAACTCACAAACTGTCCAATTTACAGGCTGCAAAGGAAGGTAAGTTGGACAGCCCTGGTGTAGCACTAGAGGTAGATCCAAACTTGGGAAAAGCTATCATTTAGGAGGGTTGATTCCCATTATTCCTTTTATAAATTACAACAGCAATAGATGGATATTTCAGTGTTGCCTGGAAAAGGCTGAGATAGAATAAACTTGCCCTTCTAGGTCACTGATGCTCAATCTGTTGTGCAAATGGGATTGTAAGAAAACAATCATTGCATGTATCTCAGGCTATGCTGGGTCCAAACTCTGCTCCTTAGCAAACTGTCTGAACCTGTCCCAAGATCTACTGTAGGTGAGATAGGTAAAAGGCTTTCTTGCATTTTGTAATATAGTTATCACTTATGGAGTGCATTGCATGTCTTGGCCATATAATCTTCAAGACCTGAGGGAGACTCATTCTGGATATGGTTAAATCAAGTAGACCTGAGACAACAGATTGGGTAGCAGGGGAAGCTGTTTGAGTTTCACAATATCAGAGGTGACTATTGTCTCTTTCACCAGTATGGAAAATTAATTTTATTTTCTTCACACCACAACACTTGTTTTCTATGTGCCTTGTTGACATCATACTTGTGCAGTAGTGTGCAGTAGTGTGCAGAAAAATGCAGCTTAATGGACATGGTGTGAACAGGCCCTTAGTCCCCATGCTGTGGAGATTAAGAGTTTGAGCAGAATTCAGTAGTTTAACAACAGACAACTGGGCAGGCCTGATGCTAAGGGGCTAGTTTATAAACTGTTTGCACAGCTCTTCATTGTGGGAACAAGATTTGCAACACTGTATGACCACTAGATGGATCTGAGCAGCACAGGAATTTCCTATGCACACAGAGGAGCTGTGCAAACAGGTTTATACCTGCACCTTTTTCTTATCTCTTTACAGTCCAGTATGCTCTGTATGTTATGGTTTATGAATGGTTTTTGACTGGAAGTGCCATAAATCAGCCTTTTTAAATTCTGCTTTCACACGCCAGTGCTGTATGCTGGCATAGCTGAATAACAGCACAAGTGTCCTCCCACAGACTTGCATTTCAGAAAAGGGAAGCGGCTGATTACTGAGTGCACTGTGTCTAATTTTGGTGCATTTTTGACTTCACAACTATCTGACTGCACATCTATTTCTGTGACTTCAAATCTTCTTAACATTCAACTGTCTTTTTTTGGGGAGTAACTGTCCTAACTGTAAACGCAGCTTTGGCAATCTTTGATGATTTGGATTAGTTTAGATGAAACATAGTGGGGTTGATATACCCCTATTTTAGTACTGAAAAACCCGGAAGAAGGGGCATGAATATACAGGGCTCTGAAGAAGGGAGCATGTCCCCGAAAACGTGTTCAGCCTAGACAATTTGCAGATTTGAACAGCTAGTGTAACCCCTGGCCATGTGTTAAAGGAGAACTATGAGGTGAGTGCTTTTCACTCACCTCATAGTTCTAGCCGACCTGTGACAATGAGACTGTCACAGGTCGGCTCAGTAGATCGGGAGGTGAGCGAACACATACCAGCGTTCGCTCACCTCTCAATCCTGTCACGGCTCTCTACCGTGACAGGAGAGGGGCTGGATTCCCCCCTCCACGCTCCGATCCGCCAGCGCTGACTGGCGGAACGAACGGGGGAAGGTACAGCTGGCTCTGCCTCTAGATAGGCAGAGCCAGCTGTCAGTTACGCAGCTGGGCAGATCCCGGCATAATTGTCGGGATCCGCTTCAGCTGCCGCGTCTCAGTATACCGTGAGCAGCAGCTCGCGGTATACTGCGGCGTCTCAGTATACCGCGACCTACAGCTCGCGGTATACTGAGCATAGGGTGACGGGAGGACGCTAGTTTGCATCCTCCCGTTACCCTAAGGAGAACTATGGGGAAAAGCCTTAACCCCATAGTTCTCCTTTAATGGTGCTATTTGTGGTTACTGTTTGGAGTGAAGTCTGCCTGTGTATTTTATGGATGCATATCACTCAATTGTTATGGGAGTATATTGACTGTTCTTTAATAACATTTCTTGATGGTACAATATCACACAAAGGAAAGGCGCCTTCTTTTTCTTTTTGACATACACATGATTAATCACTCACCCATCATTCCACAGGCATAAGAGATGCTTTTTAATCAGCTCCAAGATACCCTCAATCCAAAGCCAGAATGGAAAAGTCTTGTCATTGAGATTTTCCTATAAGCCAAATGAATACATAAAGGAGTTTGTCTTAATAACAGGAGACGTTTTCTGAATAATCTTGAGGAGTCAAGGGTTGCTGATACTGCAACAACTAGCAGACAGGCGTAGGCTTTTGATATATCATTTATGTATTTGTTAAAGGGGAATTCCATGTACAAGTGAAGCCAATCAGTGGTCTACTTTTACTATTCAGATAATCACTGCAACAATGCTAAAGTCAAAAAGTTTACTCAATGTAACTGACACATCACAGGGGCATATCAGTATTTCCTGAGGTCTGTACATATAACTTCCTCACTTGTTGCTTTCACTATACACATTCAAACTTCAAAGGTATTAACATGATTGGGGGCTGTGAGAAACCTCTGAGTAGTACAAGTATTCTTTTTTTACATCAAGCTTTTTGTAAGTGAGAGACAGAAAGCTGCAGTCACTGTCTGCAGGCCATGGCACTGTGGCTCCAGCCTTACCTTTAGTCCTGCACAGTTGTACAAGCTCCTGTCCTGTACTCCACTGCACACTTTGAGCTTTTCACAGTGTGTATTAGAAGCTACAGCAAGTCAGATGGAGCCTGCCTCATTTCTTGGATGGAGGACATTCAGCATCACCTAGCACTTTCCTCCCCCGGCTTACTGTCCCTGGCCTGCATTTCATTCATTGGAATCCAGTTCTTTCAATCATGGAAGTTCAGTATCACATGTGGGCAAAACCTAGTGTGCTCTTCATGCAAATTCAGCCTGTCTAGGAAAGCCCACTCCTTTAGGCTGTCATCCACCCATCAAGATAGTTTGATATTTGCATAACTGCATTCCATAGAGGAGCACAGAGACACAGTGATATCACTGGATCTAAAATAAGGTATGTCATAAACACCAAAAGTTTTCATTTACAAATGCCAGTAGCATGTTGATGAAGGGAAGGCAAAATATAAATAAGCAGATAAATGTCATCTTTAAGTATTAATAAGCCTGCATGAATCTTGAGCTTTAAATTCTCACTGGTATACCTTTAAAGCTCATCTCTAGCCATTTTTGGATAGGGTGAGAAGGGTTAAAATCTCTGCTAGGTTTTTATTGCTGTCCTTGTTCTAATTGGGTTAATCCACCCTTCCTATTTGTATTTGTCATCACAGTCACCAGTACCAGAAAGGGAAATTCAAAACTGTCTGGTTGAGGGGAAGTCTCCAAGTGGGGACAGGTCACTTTGCAGATATTTCCTCTTTGTCCTTGGGGAATATTGAACGTGATACATACAGTATCTGGTTACATACAGTATATTAATCATCTGAATATTTTTTTCTGCCTATGTGAAGTGAACCTTCCGTTTTGCCCATGCAAGTCACAGTAAAGGGTTCTCTTAGCTCCCTCTCCACCAGCATGGACTCACCTTTATTTTGCTCTCCCACACTCTGTTAAGCCAACAGGAGTCAAGTTAAATACCTGCCACTTCTATGTATGGGTGAGCATGTGACTCAACCTACCCCCTCTTTTCCCTTTCTCACATATAGCAACAGTGGTGCCTCATGAGTGGAAAATCTGGGTGTAAAATTACCCAAAAATCACAAGGAGGAAATAAAGAATTAATCTAATTCTAAATTGGACATTGGAGCTGACTGGGTACATTCCCCTTGGCAAGCACCACTCCAAGAACTACTATTTAAGCTGGTGCTGAGCTAACATTATATGGTAACTTTAGTTTATAGTCTTCTAAAAAGGTAAAAGGGAGAGTGATGAGAGTAAATTACAGAAAGTAGGGAAGGGGTCAACGGAGGCAATTACCTTGCAGAATCTTGTCCATGGAATAAAATCTTCAGTTCCGATAACATTTGGCCCTAAATATGGAAAACACAAAAACCTTAAAATTTTCTACTTGTAACAAAGCACTTCGAGTTAATTGAGGGATACAGGATTTAATGACATTTGGGTTATTCTGCTGCCTACAGAAGGACTTGGGCACTGGCAAACAAAACACTGGCCAGTGTGGTATACCCCCCTTTCACTCCCAGCATGCTTCAGGTATGTAACAAAGCAGTGCCAAGAGCAAGTGAAGATGAAGTCTTGATTGAACAACAAAATAATCTTGAACAAAAAGGAAAAATGGCTAGTAAAGCAGTGAAACATTTCTCAGTAGTGAAAAGGACCCTCCGCCTAGGACACTAGCAAGAAAATGAAGCATGCTGGCAATGGGAGGGGATATGCCATGCTGGTCACTGTTTTTTTGTTTGCCAGTGTCCAAATCCTCCTGTAGATACCAGTAGAACTCAAATAAACCCTGTGCCCTTCAATGAACAAAAAATACATATTTGTTTTTCAATACCCTAAAAATCCACAAAATTGCAGGTTAGTATATAATCTAAAATGCATCTGATCCTAAGGCATGCATGATTTCTGGATTTATTTGTGGGTGCACAGGGACAGATTAGGAAATGCTGCTGTCTGTGACCCCATTTTGGAGATTTCAGTTCCTGTCTTGGATTACAGGATGTCACCAGGGCAGGAAGATTAAAGGGGATTTTTTTTAAAGAAATGTCTGGGGTTCCATTTTATTCTGCCTGTGTTCTCTTCTTCCTCAAAAAATAAATTATTGGGCACATATGACAACATATGATTTAAATGTGACAACATACATTTAAATGAAATGTGTAATTGTAATTGTGTACAGTTTTTAGGTGTCTGCATTAAAGATCAGATGGGTAGCTAACATGCTCAAGTTAAAATTAAATCCAATTTCACTAAAAACTACATTCCAAAGGCAGCTGTTATGTACTGTCTGTCAGCATCTACAGTAAACCAAATAGTATAATATTCAGATTTCTGCCCAGAAGAGATGACAATTATTTACACCGTACCTAATAATTTCTCTTCCAGCATACTCAGCTGATCTGTGTGAAGTCCTCTTTTGGTTACTGAAGAAAACTGCCAGCAGAGTACTTCTGAAACCTGGGACCATCTGGCTGCTGGCGGGTTTAGGAAAAAGGATAAGTTCTGCAAAAAAAGGATTATTTGTAATCATCCCAACTAGAAAGCAAGACAAAACAACTGACGTGCCAATTTGAAAAAAACAGTCATAGAAAGTATTTAAAACGAATAAGACACAGGTCAAATGAGTGACTGCATGGTAGATAGATAGATAGATAGATAGATAGATAGATAGATAGATAGATAGATAGATAGATAGAGGTCTATTCACAAAGCTAGGCAGCCGAGTGAACAACCGACCCGAAGTGAAGTGAGCTGAACACTGTTCGGCTATTCACATCAGGCTTGTACGGCTCATCAGCCATACTTTGGATGGCTTCGGGTCGGCCAAACATGCTCAGCATGTTCGGCCGACCCAAAGTGCAGAAGGAGTTCGACTCCAACATCTGGATCGGCTGAGCCGAACCTCCGGCAGGCTACTCGCTGCTGTTCGGCCTATTCTCATAGATGCCGAACAGCAGTGAGTGAATGGCCGAATGCCGCTGAGATACATTCGGCTCGGCTATTCTGCTCGGTACCTCTGTGATACCGAGCAGAATAGAAAAACATTTAAAAACAACAATAGAAATGCCGACTCTGCTAAGCTCTCATCCTAATGACAGAACAGAATCTGCTGGTTACCCAGTAACCAGCAGATTCTGTTCTGTCATTAAGATGAGAGCTTAGCAGAGTCGGCTTTCATATCACTGCTGACTCTCCTAAGCTCTCGTTGTAATGACACATGGGCTCCCTGGTTACCTGGTAACCAGGAAGGCCATGTGTCATTACACACTGAGAACCCGTCAGAGCTGCTGTGATTTTACTGAGGAGCCGCAGTGTAATGACAGAAGGCGTCCCAGGCAACCAGGGACGCCTTCTGTCATTACACACAGAACCCGGCGGAGCTGGTGTGATTTTACAGCAGCTCCGCCGGGTTCTCAGTGTAATGATAGAACGGCGTCTCTGGTTACCAGGGACGCTGATCTCTCTGCAAGTGAGCGGAGCCAGCCGTGAGATGACGGCTGGCTCCGCCCAGCTGTCAGAAGCAGGCTGTCGGCCAGCCAGCTTCGTATTTCCCCTGGGCTCAGTCGAGCTGAAGCATATGCCTTCGGCTCAACTTAGCCCCTCGGCCAACTTCGGGGGGCTGTATGGGCTATAGTGAATAGCCTGTACCCCAGCCCTGAACAGACCCGATAGATAGATAGAGAGATAGATCGATAGATAGATTACTATGACTTCTTTTTGCTTTTATTACTGACCTTTGTCTCTGAGCACAGCATATTGTACCATAAAATAGAAGCCCAACCACTGGGGAGCTGGCTTACATTGGAAATCACTACAATTGGAAGTGATGCTGTCTGTGGAAAAACAGGAAAAGATAAATGTTTTATGACACATTTACTTCCGGACATAGAATGAAATGTAATTGTGTAATTATACTTTGATTTATTGTGGTTTTACATTTTCTTTTAAATGACCTGTCACACAGGGTACTTGTGACAGAAGCCTGGGATGTAAAAGAGCAATCATGCAAATTCACCTTTCTGGCAGTCAGTGTTTTCAAATGTCGCCCCTGTGTATTTCCCAGTCACTGCAGGTATTCCATAGTTCTGGGTGTGATGAATGCCTACTCTTCCCGCCGCACACTATATTTTCTTTTGCATGATCATACTTCACCACAGGAAGTACAAGCTGGTGGAGGAACTACAACGTGCAGCAGGAGGAGCAGATATTAATCATACTTGGAAGTGTGGAATGCCTGCAGCTGTTGGGGGCAGCAAAGGAGAGGCATTTGAAGACATAAGCAACAGCAGGATCACTTTAAACAATGGCCTTACATCAAATCAAGACCTCCTTCCTGAAGCACCTATAGGCACTCATATTTATAAAGCAGGGGGGCATACTTATAAAGCAGTGAATTTGACAGTCACCAAACATTTACTGCACTTGAGTCACTGTGTATCCTCCAGGAAGATACACCTGCAGTGAATATAGGGTGAATGTCACATTCACTGCTTTTTAAATATACCCCTCTGTCTTTTTTAGTGCCTCCTGTCACGCTACTTTTCACACAAATTGACTAAAACCTTAATAGATGCTGGATTGGTAACAGCAGAGGGTATAACAGCGGATAATTGAAAATATATACCTATTCTTTTCCTTCCAGCCAAACAAGCACATTTACCCCGTGCAGTGTGTGTGTGTGTGTGTGTGTG